GGGGGGGGGGGGGCGGATGCGAAGCCGACCGTGTTGGGCATCAAGCCTGCTTCATACGCTGTCTTAACTACGCCTAGTGGCTGATTACAAATTGGGGTTGGGGTTAGTCGGCGACCAGAGGCTGAGGATTTTAGAACCCTCGGGCAGTCGGTACCTACCCGAAATTACTAATCGACATGATGAAAAACTTTTTTAAAAACTCATAAAGTAGACTACAATTATGTAATAATGTTAATCAAAATTATTAAAAGGGTGTTTTCAAGTAATTCTGATAGTTGATTGGCGTTTGTGATGAATTAATGGATTGTTTAAACTTCATTTCAGAAAATTCATTCTAATAAATTGCTTACAAGGTCAGCTAACACAGGAGCAGTGAAAAGGTTTAGCAGTAAAGCCTCGATTAAAGCAAGTAAGTTTGAATAGTACACCACGGTCATTTGGGAGAGTCCGTTCCAAATAAAGGGGTGTTATGTAGGGCGATTCTATTCCATTACACGGGTGGCAGGTGGGGCCATTCCATTGCACACAAGGGGTGTCAGGTGGGGCGATTCCATTGCACAAAAGGGGTGTTAGGTGGGGCGAGTCCATTGCTCACAAGGGGTGACAGGTGGGGCGAGTCCATTGCACGCAAGGGGTAACAGGTGGGGCGAGTCCATTGCACAAAAGGGGACAGGTGGGGCGAGTTCATTGCACAAAAGGGTTGGCAGGTGGGACGAGTCCATTGCACAAAAGGGGGTGGCAGGTGGGACGACTTCATTGCACAAAAGGGGTGACAGGTGGGGCGAGTCCATTGCACAAAAAGGGGTGCCAGGTGGGGCAAGTCCATTGCATGAAAGGGGTGACAGGTGGGGTGAGTCCATTGCATAAGGAGGGGAGACAGGTAGGGCAAGTCTGCGAATTCTAATTATCCCAATTTGGTTCAGAGAACAGGAATTGAAGAAATTGTTCTGTTTTACTCTCAGAAATGAAATTTTTTGGCCAATTTCAGTCAAAACCGTCAAAATGGGACCCTCCCTATATAAGAAAATATAGGAAAAATTGTATCCAAATTAGTTAGTTTCATATGCTATAGAACAAAAATCTCGTGAATTTTTTAAAAACCAGGATTGCAAATTTACAGATATTTTATTTCAGTGCGCTAAAACAGCTTGGAGGGGTTATTTATAAAATACTGGTCATTTTACAACAATTTAAAATTTAGGTACCACAGAAAACAGTCAACCACATAAACATTGATATTATTTACAGATCAGATTAAATTTTTAAGTCCTCAAACACTAAAAATAACTCATTTTTCATTATGATTACTACTATCCTTATCATAATAATTTCATAACAAAGTGAAAAATAAAACGCCAAATTACAAAAAGTTTTTATTGAGTTTTCATAATGATATAATAGATATATAAAGGAGCGTGGGTTCCTCTGTGTGAAACAAAGGCTAGAGTTCATAGGTTGCTTTCAGGCGGATGATCTGCAGAATCTCGTCGAGCTCCTGAAAAGATAAACAATGTTTACAACTTTGAACTAACCAGACAAGCTCTGTACATTATAATAATGCATGTAATATAACAGGCCAGAGGGCACATGTAAATGGAATGGCGTATACGTTTATTAACTGTAGTCTGATGCTCAGGTTCAGCTAGCGTAAAACCAAAATTATGATCTGGAATTAGTTAATGATATCACTATTTGAGGCTTCTTGTTAAACAAGTAACATTGATAGCACAACCCGTTTCATTTGCAGGGTGGTTGAGGTTATTGCTACGACCGTTAATATATTCCCCTTGATATCAAAAGTTATGTTGTAGCCTACATGTTGACGCACTTCAGAGAAAGAGATCATTTACAAATTCTCTTCGAAAATTATAACAAATATATTGCACGTATGTGATAAGTTTACAGAGAACCGTGTAATGGATGGACAACACACGGCACAATGGAGACGACAGGCTGTGTAAAAATACATCTGTGAATCATTGTGCAATGAACACTCGAAATCCTTGGATCAGAAGCTCAGAACGGTGACAAGCATCATCCAATTAATAAATTTGGGTGGTAATACTTACATTTAACACACGACATTTTAAATTAGGTCAAAATATTCAAAATTAATTGTCAAGGCCGGGGCACACAAAATGTTCAAACAGAGGGTTCTAAAGTAGAAAGGATTTCAAGCAAACATAAGTTATCATCAAAAGTCAGATGAATGCGCCGTTTATTCTGAACATTTGGAGTCCAATAATTTCTACCATTCTGAGTGACATACTAGTAACAATGAGAATATAGTATAAGGATTCATGTCATAAATATTTTCCGTAAATATTTTTCTCATGCTTTTGCGCCTTTATTATTTAATGGCTGTGGTTGATGAAGAAATAGTGATACTCACAAATACATATTTCCTTCCACGCCTTATAAAAGCTCGACCTTCTAACTGCACCATGCATAGTGTTGCGTCTAGGTCTACACCCGACTCTGTCTAACTGCCAAGTGAGCATTCGGGAAGACAGCTCGCACTACGATGAACAACTTTTGTTATGCAAATACTAACAGGTATAGCTCATTTTAGGTGAGAGGTCACATGCGGTACTCTACAAGTCCAAAAGTGTCTAACTGCGCCTACTACACATGTAGCCCAGGTGTAACAGGAATGGGGGTCCGCTAGGAACCGTAGTCCGCTTCCCATTACTTTATACAGGTGACATTGGTCCATTTACTAACCTCAATACTCCAACTAACCCTAACATGTACTTAGCATATGGGAGCCCGGACTTCCATTCTTAGGACTTCCATTCCAGTTACACCTGTTTCCCCTATGTGAAAATTATTCTGAAAAATCAGCAATGAGTGTCTTTCTTTACACACTCACACACACACACACACACACACACACACACACATGCTGTTTATGTTGTTGTTGTCGGTCGCTGCAACAATGATAGAGCGTGCGGCGTAATACATGCGCGCTCGTACGTTTTTACAATGCACATTCCTCTTTGTGACATTGTTAACAAAATTAGGTGTTGTATTGGCTCACCAGAAGTTGGAGGCAGCTAACAGTTATCAAAAACAAAGGTAACGTATGAATCGACGGATATCAAACGTATGCTTCTACAATGCAAGTTACACTTTGTAATTCTTTCATAAATTCATATTTGTGCTGAGACTGAGAATCTAGGGGTAAAATTGTAGAACGAATGTCGCTTGTCTTTCTCAATAATAATAATAATAATAATAATAATAATAATAATAATAATAATATAGTTGTGTTTCAGATTTAAACTGATTTTAGTATTCGCCTTTACAAACAAAGTGAGGTAAAATATGAAGAGAGTCAACTAAGTACACCGTTGTATAAATATGGAAATAAATAACACAATAACATAGGTGTAAAAAGGGTGACTCGGTTAACATTAATACTAATAAATACTAACTTCAGTAACAATACTTTATACACGTAAAACAAAGGCTGGTATAAATTTAGGTCCTCGTTCCTTTGCTGCCTTTTTGAGTGCAAAATAAACATTTTTACTTTTGTGCCAAACCTGCAGCCGGACAATTTCACGTTAACGTTAGGGTTCCTGTAGTCTTTATGTATATTGTTTAAGCCCCCTTTACACTGGACGACGTCCTTTCAGCGTCCAGCAGTACGGCCCCATTTGAGAGTTAAAAAAATTATAATACTTTACGTGCCGACAACTGGCCGATCATTGAGCATCCATTCTGATACAAAATCAATGCTCGTGCCTCCTTATTAAGACCACAGCGATGCCAAATTTCATGGTCGCAGAAAGGACGCCGTCCAATGTGAAGGGGGTATTAACAGTTGACAGTCATCACAGTAAGCAAAATTCTGCTTTCGTAAGAAATTTTAATTTTATAGAATTTTAAAATATAGGATTTTTAAAACATTTTTCGTGTGTTCAGATTTGTGCTCAGACTGGGAATAATCTTTGGGTAAAATTGTAGAATCAGTGTGGATTATGACGATGTCACTTCTGTTTTTCTTTTAAGAAAAAAGTTATTATACAGTTTTATTGACATTTTTGGTCTCAGAAATCCAAATGAATCAACTGTGTGACAATAGTAGGAATACTGATATTGAAATATATCAACTCAAAGATGCAACACAGTTTATTCACTGCTTATTCAAGCCAGGCCCGTAGCCAGGGGGGTTCGGGGGGTTCGAAAGAACCCCCCTTTGCTAGGAAAAGGTCCACTTTGGGTAAAATTACATGAATTTGTTATGGGAAAAGGTCCACTTTTTCAGAAAAAGAACCCCCTTTTGAAATTAGTGGCTACGGGCCTGCAAGCTGAAAAAATACAAGTGAATGTAGGCATAATTACCAATCCACTATTACCTTGACTACATTGGTTACATATGTTTAGTCTCACTTCTTCCTGTTTATTTTGTAATATCTGTTGCGGGAGTAAATCTAGATAACATGTACCGATTAGTAAATCTATACCTTCATTGGGTCATTGGCACTCGGACCACAAATTACGCAAATAACATCAACGGCGGTTCAATAGTGTAGTGGCTATCACGCTCGCCTCACACGCGAGAGGTCCTGGGTTCGAACCCCAGTTGAACCACACTGTTTTTTGTGAAGTTTTTCTCTAATTTCACAAGCAAGCATTAATTTTTCCTAATAGGCTGTATAGTAGAGGGAAAGTGTTCGTCGAAAAGTTAACCAAATCGGGCAATATCTAGCCCTGCACCTGTGTTAAATATTCAGCTGTTGATGATATGTTTAGAGAATATATATATTTGTTCAGTCATAAATTGACAGCACAATTACAAATTAGAGAATGATAATGCACCAATTGTATTGCTGTTGATATATTATATTGTACAAGATCATGATAATCTATGTACCAGTACAGAAATGAATTGAACACAATATATTTTATAGTCACCTGTTGGGCGAAGAGAGATAAGGTTTGTGGTTATTTGTGATCGGTTCGTATGTTATTTTAAGACTAGGTTCCCATCCCCAGATCGATCTAACAGGATCGGTCCATCTCCACGGTGTGGCTCGCTAAATTGCTTTAAACTCATATGTGACTTGGGTGTCTAGCACGCCTGCTAAAATTGCTAAACGATAGTTAATTACCCCCTATCAGCGTCAGTAGGCGTGACAGACATCTAAGCCGTATAAGTTAATTGCACTTAAGCGAGAATCCCCTTGGAGATAGTTCGATCCAAAGTTAGTACGATGGTCTCTGGAAATGGTCTCAAAGTGTACTGTTTGTTTAAGAGACAAAATTGTCAAAGAACTCGCCGTTCTTTGTTCTTCAGAGCCTCCCCCCCCTTTCAGGCTTGATTTCACAACGGATGGTTTATAAACATGAAGACTTAATTTATTTTTGCTTAGTAAATCCGTACCTGCCCAACTACCATATAAGTATTTTCACTGATGCATCTCTGAAGATCTACTTAACAGTTGTCAAGTCACTTTAAAGCAGATCTTCAGAGATGCATCAGTGATAATACTTACATTTTCCTTAAGATCTATACGGTGAATTAACATGAATACCCAACTACCAAAATCGGCACCGAATGATCCTGAATTCACCGGTAGATCGGACCACACTATCCGTTTTCAAGGTGTGCAGCAGAACGCATTTCACAGTTTCATACCCCGGAACAAATTTTGTGAAGAGATGCACTACTTTCCAACCCCGCTCAGAATAATCGCTATCACATCGCGTACTAGGCAAGAGCGGTGTCGCGTCTGATACTTCGAAGCGCGTACTGACGCGAATTGATGATGCGTTAAAAACGTCAGTAATGAGCTTTGTTTAAATCATATTTTTAATATCTAATGCTGAATATTAGAAAAAAAGTGTGAAAGAGAACGAAAACACACGAAACACAGAAAGTCCTTTTTAAATACTTAAAAAACTTGTTCTCTTGGTGAATATTTATTGATAACTTCTTTCGGTAAATGAAAATGATAATCTGTATGTATACATATATCAATTGCAATCAACCATCATAAATTTCAACCCAACTTAATAGACCCGGTGGAAACCACCTTAGACAGGCGAATCTGCCAAACAAGAGTGAAACTCTATACGCCAGAAATGTCGTCTTAGGTACCAATACAATAGAAACACGCAACATGTGGTGAATACACGCTGTCGTCAAAGAGCTGTACATTCAACCGAATTAAAGAGAAAACCACAAGTAAATTATCTGTGAAAAAAAAAAAAAAAAAAAAAAAAAAACAGCCTGTCCTATATGATTCACCGTGGCACCACAACTGCAGCCGCCAGTTTGCCATTAATTTTTGATCCCACTCTTCTTCAAATCCCGCGAGAATTCGCGCGAGTCTGTGGGATACCTCATATGATACAGAATTCACTTTTCATCGGCAACTGGTCCTATCCAAATCAATTGCATACCGGAGGGCTTTCAGTGTCGTTTTACATCTATGCTTTAAAGCCATGTAATCTGCAATGGACCATAAAGCTTAACCAAATTGTTTCTTTTTTCGCCGTCCTTAATAATATATAATTATCAGTCTTTTTCGTGCTTCTGGTTTTTCCCAAGTTTTAAATGGGCTAAAATGTTTCTTTTTTATTTGAGGTCTATTTGGTATATCTGAGCATATTGAGTCTTGCCCCCATTATCTGTGAGATAAAACCGTAGCACTGCGCTGCATACGCCTCCCGATGTTTCTGCATGTGCTCTAAGTGGGCGGAGTCATCCCAGACGACGGAAGTGACGTCAACCCCGCGGTTTTTCCGTTGCTCCACCATGTACTTCACGCTTTTCGGTGTTGCAATGGCGTCGGCCGTGGAACCGAGGAAGAGCTCTGGACACCGAGATTTGTCTGCTCTAATAATGTCCCAAGTGGTAAACACGGCGCATCCTGGAAAGAAGAACATCCTTTTGATGATGTGCCAGACGTAGTGAAACAGAACGTAGAGTCCAAGGAAGAGACCGCAAATGGGCTTCAGGACTGCCGACACCCGGAGGGAGTTCATGTAACTCTTGATGACGCCGAAAAAGCCGGTCTGCACGGGCGCGCTGTCAAAAATGACGCCGGCAACCTGAAGGGTGCGACCTTTCCCATCTGGGACGCTCTCCTCCGCTTGCATCGCCTCCAAGAAGTGGCGGTACATGGCCTGACCGCCGGCACCGAAGATGTGAATGAAAATGGGATGTTTTTCCAGTTCATGGTCCGCGATCACATCGTATATCTTCGCCGCCGTCCGCCGAAGACGCCGCTGTCCGAAAAACATGTCGGGGAAGAAAGGGATGCTGTAGCTGATACATATGTAGCTGCAAACGTTAAAGAATGCGCATTTAAAGACGTTTTAATAAATGCTCATGCGTCATAGATATACGACGAGTAATGGCAGTTGAAATTAAGTATGCAATTTCAATTTTTTCCGTTTTGATTATCATAATTGCTATTTCTCATAAATCTCACAATACTGGACATTGGCTGAGAAAATACAGCACGCAATTACCCGCTTTGTTCATAGATGGCGCTGTATTCGGCCAACTCGCCGTCCGTAGACTGAGCCCAGCCCAGCAATATCACCACAGGCTCTCTCGTCTCGCTCGGCTTTCGGGCCTTTTCGTCTCTCCACGGAAACGTGATGCAGTATTCGAGTTCACTCGGCATTGGTCCTGAATATATATAGAGAATATATGGCCTTGAGAAAGTTTAAATATTCGGTGGACTTTGGGTGATTTCGTGCATTGCCGTTATCAGCTGAAGTGCTTCAAATAAAGCTTTTTTTATTTTAGTTCTATAAAAAGTAATATTTTGAAACGAAATCAAACGATTCTTGCAATTGAAAAAGAAAAAAAAAATCACAATTTAAGGCCGACTGTCCTGAATATGAATGTGATTTGAGTCTGTTATGCATCTATATAAAGCAATATTGACCAAATAAGTAAGGTATATATCTATATTTACTTATCCAATACCATTCTTTTTTTTCATACAGAATTGAAGAAAATATAAGAGATGCAGACGTTTACAACGTAGGAGCCATTATTTATGTTCAAAAATGCCACATTTGTCATAAAATGATTTACATTGCAAATGTGGGTTAAGATCCATTAAATGTTAATGCAAGTTTCGACAGGCGTAGTTATTCTTGGATAAATGTGCATTTAATATCCTAGCCATCCTGGTGAATTCATTGGGAGAGCGTAATTTCCAACTTATTTCTGTACATGTATATTTACACCCGAATTCTAACACTTTATATGACAATAGACAAACAGCGGCCTATTTCTTAATAAAAACGACAACTGAACATAGAACAAGTAATGCTTTAAATGATAACTATTATCATGGACGTACTTGAATTCTAAAACCTTCATAGAACTCTCCCCCCTCCCCTCCGTTCACATGCAGTTGACACGTGCATAATTTTGCCGGTTTCATTCTGCTGATTGCAATCAAGCCGGTGTTTGCCCAGCAGGAACCACATATTTCTGTCAGCAATACCTCTCCACTGTTCAGCCAAAGCCTGGAGGGGTTTCTGCTAAGCAGGTACCGGGATGATTACGAACAAGACTCCTTAGATTGACCAACGGGGCACAGCCAGATATAAGCAATCAGAGGACAATATTGAACGCTAAATGACAGGTTTAAACTTTAAAAACCCTTATTTAAACAAAATAATTGTTAATAGAGCAGAAAATCTTCGATTTTAATTTACAGTTCGAATAATCAGAATCATCACGTTACTAAGTTCTGTATGCATTGTATGCACCTCAAAGTACAGCTTCCTGTACATAATATGACTCTACCACTGTAATTTGATTCATTCGCTTGTTGCTATATATGTTAGACAGTTTTTAGCCTGGGGAGTCAACCTCCAATAGCATTATGTTGTTTCTTAATAATGTATCTAAAAATAACGGTGCTGATACGAAACCATACGTTTTATATTACCTGGTACATACATATATAGGGTCAGTGAAGTTGATAATATAACTGGGAAAATAACTTATCAACACGAAGGATGATCAATTTGCATGAAATATAATGAAAATAACGCTGCATTCACATCAGCAGACTAACAGATCAGCGGCTCAAACATGGCGACACAAGTGAAACCTTGTCGCGTAAATCCCTTATAGACACTGAATAGAGTCCCTGGGGGATTACGTAACAAGCATTCAAGTGGGTCAGCCATATTTGAAGTGGGGTCGGCCATATTTAGTCGGCGGATCAGTTAGTACTCGGATCATTTATTTTGAATGGCCCCTTACATTGGCTTCAAGACTACATGTCGCTATGTCTCGGTTTTCTTTTCTCTTTCTTTCAGGATATTCAGCACGCAAAAAGTATAGCGTAACAACCCGAGAACAAATGTTTGGCTGAACGTTTATAGATCGCGAGCTGCAAATTGTTATCAAAGCATCTCAAGGCTGCCTCACTTTTATTATTAGAACTGGTTTTAGCAATGTATCGGTGAAGGTGTGGCTGCTTTCAGGTGCAACGATGTGTATATAGCTGTGTGTGTGGGTGTTTGTATTCACTGTGCGTGTGTGTGTATGTCTGTGTGTGTGTGGTGTGTGTGTGTGTATGCCTGTGTGTGTGTGGTGTGTGTGTGTGTGTATGTCTGTGTGTGTGTGTGTGTGTGTGTGTGTGTGTGTGTGTGTGTGTAACATAGAACGAGGTACAGTCAGCATTGGTTTTCATCATCCGCGTAATTCGCGTTTCGGTTATTCTGTTTATCATTTCAATTAATACAAATTATCCGACCTCTGTCTGTCTGTTTGTCCGTCTGTCCATCCGTCCGTATGATCGACCGAAAACCCGTCCCGTCAGTTTTCTCTTACGCCTGTCTGTCTGGGAGTGGCCTTTGTCATAATACAATGGGCATCATTGGTTATATTCATATGCGAAAGGCACACCTTTTTAACTTGATAAATTCCCTTAACTCACACCACAAACAATCTCACCGGTCCTCTCCTTGCCGGCTGTCATACTGTCATAACATACAGACGATGTCAACAAAGAGTGGGCCTTGACCTGCTTGTGAAAGGCGGCGTTTTCATTCATACAGTAATTGGGTGCTAAATCTGATTTCTATCTGATTTCTATCTTATTTATTTATTTATTTATTTATTTATTTATGTGAGGGCACTTTAGTTCATATATCCACCGTACCAAAGAAAAGACATACGGGCAATAATATACACATTAATGTCTGTATGTAAAGCAATTCTTAGTTGATTGCTCAGCGGAAAATAGTTTAATGCTGATACCCTGGTATATTTTTCTGAACATTTTATACATGTAGAACCCTATAGCTATGTGCTAACTTTGTTTTCCTGCACATTAACCGGGTATGATTTTAGCAGCGACTCTATACAACCATACCCAAGTTGAACTCAGCCTACGCTCAACATGGTATTTGACACGGAACGCCCAGACTTGCGTTATTGTGTACCACGAGTTAAATAGAACAGAACGCTCATAAAATAAAAATGCTGATACATACTTGAAAGCACGCTTAGACCGCAATTTTGCCATTAACCCAACCTATAGAGCAGTTATTCATATTAACATCAAAACCATATAATATATCTAGGCTCGAGAAAAACATCGTCGTCAAACGTGGTGTCGGCTCGAGACTCCCGCAGCGCCGGGTCTACTTAGGAAAATACCTGCCAAAAATACAACACATATGTAGTGATGTAATCTCCCTGCGCTTTGTGCTGTCTTGCACGATTGAGTTGGGTTGCCTGGTGATTCCCGTCTAATTCTCGTCTATTTTCTGAACCTAATCCTTAATGAATTATAGCTATTATGACTCTTGCACTAACCTTTAAATTTGTTCTCAAGTTACAGGTAGAAATATGGTTAAACCCAGTTGTTGATCTCTCTCTCTCTAAAGAATTCCACCGAAATATTTCTTCGGTCTTCTTGTTGGTGAAGGGTAACCGCGGCGATCGCTTAGCTCAGTTTACATACGCGCACGCCGGGCTTCCGTGCAAAACACTGTGGAAAAATTGAGGGCACCTGTTTGGTGCTTTTTTCCCCGTAATGTTGTGAAGGTCATGTGGTTAGAGAGGGTTCACAAGGGGGTGCCTGTGCGAGGCCACAGGAGAACGGTGTCGTCGTTAAAGGGATAATAACTCTTCAATTTGGCAAAAAAATGAATTTTCCTGGAGTAAACAACAATTTTCCCATGCTTACCAATGGTTAATGAATCCATTTTTAAATTCAAAGTTAGTCCCTGGTTTTTTTGTAAAAAGTTTGTTTTTTTTAATCAATTAATTAATGGAGGGCACGTGGTCTGAAGACAAGCTCAGATATCAGAATAATAGCTATAACTGCTGTTTTTGTCGTAAAACAGAATATATTATATTTCTATGAGTTATTCACAATGTTTTTATTGTGAAATATAGACCTCATACGAAGAGTTATTATTATCCCTTTAACCTTGAAAGGATTCAGGCTGGAAAGGGGCGTATCCGTCACGAGAAGGCAGACGTGATGGCGATGAATGCCTTATTAACATTATACATACTGAGGATAAGGTTTTACCAGTAGGGGGAGGTCAACTTTGCATCACGTGCCCCCTCCCAGAATGATGTATGCCTTAAAGCATTATACGGGGACGCCATCAGGGAATTAGTCAACGTTGCTTTTAAGTGAGTCGGCCATATTAAGTTCGCGGATCTTGTTCTGAATGCGATCTTATACATTCTAAGGGTCAGATTTGACTTGTATGGAGAGGTGTCCTTTGCTTCATGTAGCCTCTCCCAGTGTTTGTAATCCAGTACGGCTCCACTGACTGAAATACTTCTCATTGCCGTACATTTCATCAATGTGGCGTGAAGATAAAAGTATATCTGTGTGTTTCCAACTTCCTTTGTTTTTCAGTATACTTTACTGTCTACTCTCTTTCCTTTTAATACCAAAACAGGAACTGGTGACATGTTAAGTCTGTCAAGCACAACATGTATAGTAATATATATACAGGTGCACGTTTATGCCATTAAATAATGTATAAGATGTAGGAATCATGGAGGAAGCCAAGCTGCTGTGACTTGGTATCCAGAGTAATAATAATACATATGATATATGGAAATTAAGAATAACGGGCGGAAAGGAGACGCTTGTTTTTCTTCTCGCCAACTTCGTGACACGCAAGAGAATACCCGGGGTGTCGAATACACCTAACTTATCTTAACAAAAAAAGCATGACTATGAACAGCAGTTATCGTTGCTGTCTCATTTATGTCAGGATTTTTGCATTGATTGACCAAATCAAAAAAGTGTTAGAGGTCACCTCTCTATAATTTGCCGGGCTGGGGGATCGTCTGAACAGAAAACCACACCCTCCTCGACAAAAAAGGTTAGAGGATCTCTCTTCACTAACTTTGTTATTATTTCAGTGATGTCGGGATATTTGCATTGATTGTCCAAGTCAAAAAGTTTAATAATTATAATAATAGTCTAGTCTAATAAAAATACATCTGTGACCCTGGTAGAGGAGTGGGAGTCTAATAAAAAAGCATCTGTGACCCTGGTAGAGGAGTGGGAGTAAAGCTGCGAAGTTATAGCGTCGTATTTTGCTGTTTTGCCGTTCATGTTTAGACAGCAGGGCCAAAACAAGAAGTGTCACAGTGCTGGATTTTAATGTGTCACAGCACTGGATTTAAATTCATCCGTCTATCCTACAAAATAACTAAAATATGACCGTCCCTGGGTGGGCTTGAACCACCAACCTTTCGGTTAACAGCCGAACGCGCTAACCGATTGCGCCACAGAGACCTATATACCTCACCTAAAGGCATTATTTTTCACCTGGCGGCCCTCATGTCGACAGGTATATTGAGGTTTTATCTCACCGTCGCTTAGGCCTTTATGTATAAGGCCTCTGTGCTGATGATAACACATGATAAACTGTCCTGTGCAGGAATTTCTACGGGCCTGTTTAATTAATTAAACTTTTTTGTTAGATTTTTTGGTGAATTTTTTTTCAAACATAAATATTTGCTCTACAGCACACAAGTAATGTTTTGGTTATTTTAATAAAGAAATGGGTAATCGTAAAACAAATATTTATAATTGGTATACCCCTTTTTGGGCAAAGTTAGGACTAAAATTCTGATGGGAATACTGAAACGTCATTTAAAGAAATCACGAGAAAAAGCTTATAAAATGAGATTTGTATCACAATGTGCTGGGTTTGCTTGAACCAACAACCTTTTGGTTAACAACCAAACACTCCAGACGAGACGTGGATGTGACAGTATCAGGTTCCGTAGAAATACGACTAGATAAGGCGTAGAAGATTTTTAACCTTAAAAAGTTTGAAAACGTGTATATCATCACACAGTGTAAAATGCAGCATTATTCTGGCGGTTTTCAGTCCATTTTAGCATTTTTCTATAGTTTTTAGTGCAGGGTTGCTGGAGTACAGCAAAATTTTGTTGGAATAAATATGGCAAACTGTCGGTTACGAGCATTAATTTACAGCCTTTTGGTAAAGTTAAAACACGCGGGCCCGTAGCCAGCAATATCAAAAAAGTGGTTCTTTTTCTAAAGAAGTGCACCTTTTACCGTGAGACCTTCATGTCCGCGCAAATTACGTTACATACGCTGCTGCTATTGCTTTACCCATCCACACATTCTTTTTAATACCTTGGAATCTTGCTTATCTAGACTGTTCATTGAACGCTATCCATTTCCAGGTACGGCGCAGATCAAGCTTGAATTGAGGCAGATTGACAGAGATATCATTTAAAGATGCATTTGGGCTCAGCGTCACTGAAGCATGGATTCACAGTTATGCATAAAACACTTCTACTATATGTAGCTTGTTGTACGGCTCACCATGCCAATTAAGGGATATCGGAATTTATCACTCGATCAGCCATAAAGGAGATCAACACTTCACTGTCTTCAAATTGGTCTTTAATTGGGTCTACTATTCTGACCTACTTATCTGCCCCGATACAAAGCACAGAAGGCAAGCAAAAAAAAAAAAAATTAAATAATAATAACAATAAGAAGAAGAAGAAGAAGAAAATAAATGAATAAAATAAACAAACAAACGAATAAATAAAATATAATAAAGTAAAATGAAATGAAATAAATAAATAAAAAATCCGTTCAAACGTCGTTTTCACGGTATTGTGAAACGGTGACGTTATACTTTTTGAAACTCTATGGTGACATTTGGTCGGCTTTTGAGGAAGAAATTGACTTCAAACCCGTCTTTAATTGAACATTACATACGGGATAACATCTGGGTGGCGCTGGTTTATAGGAGAAAGTATCGAACAAAACCACCCTTTTCACTGAATGACTCCTGTAAAATATTGTCTTCTTTACTTTTACGTTCTCACGAAGATAATATAAGAATAATAAAGAAATATCATGCCAAAGACATCAGTGGGCGAGGAAAAAGTATGAGGAAATGTGAGTAATATGATATTGCATTAAAGTTCACACATTGTACATCACACGACGTGATATATTTCATTTCTTACAGATATAATGACCTTTCACAGAATACTGTCATCTTGATGCCTTCGTTTTCTTATTTAGAAATATTTGGGAAAAAAAATCTATCAAACAAAATTCTCTTCCAATGGTTTCCGAAACACCACCACCAACATCATCAACAACAATAATAATAATAATAATAATAATAATAATAATAATAATAATAATAATAAAGCATACTCTGCCTCGTCCTATCTATGAAGCTCCCAGGAAATAAAAGGTACACTGAGCCCCATGAAAACATGGTAGCTGCATCATTTATTGGTAAAATTACTAAGGGTCAAAAAGGCATTTATGAAATGATTGATAAGGCACTTACAAAAGTAAATGAAAGATATCTACTCACTTATCATGTCGGTTCAATAGTGTAGTGGCTATCACGCTCGCCTCACACGCGAAAGGTCCTGGGTTCGAACCCCAGTTGAACCATCTTAAACACATTTTTCACAAAAAACATAAAATTCATTTTGACAGTGTTAAGTTAATAGGGCCAATGATAAATGTGGCCAGCATGATATGTTTAAAATAATTTGATTGCAGTAACTGCACAAGCTGTGTATTATATCTTCTCTGTCACAATCCACATTCCACGTGTTTGTAATCCAGTATGGGTCCACTGACTGAATTAATTCTCATTGCCGTACATTTCATCAATGTGGCGTGAAGATAAAAGTATATCTATGTGTCTCCAACTTCCTTTGTTTTTCAGTATACTTTACTGTCTACTCTCTTTCCTTTTAATACCAAAACAGGAACTGGTGACATGTTAAGTCTGTCAAGCTCAACATGTAAAGTTATGTATAGGCCTATATACAGGTGCACGTTTTCATGGCATTAAATAATGTATAAGATGTAGGAATCATGGAGGAAGCCAAGCTGCTGTGAATTATCCATGTCATATAGTATCACCTTGGTATCCAGAATAATAATAATATATATGATATATGGAAATTAAGAATAACGGGCGGAAAGGAGACACTTGTTTTTCTTCTCGCCAACTTCGTGACACGCAAGGGAATACCCGGGGTGTCGAATACAGCTAACTTATCTTAACAAAAAAAGCATGACTATGAACAGCAGTTATCGTTGCTGTCTCAGTTATGTCAGGATTTTTGCATTGATTGACCAAATCAAAAAAGTGTTAGAGGTCACCTCTCTATAATTTGCCGGGCTAGGGGATCGTCTTAACAGAAAACGACGCCTCCTCGACAAAAAAGGTTAGAGGATCTCTCTTCACTAACTTTGTTATTATTTCAATGATGTCGGGATATCTGCATTGATTGTCCAAGTCAAAAAGGTTAATAATTATAATAATTGTCTAGTGTAGTAAAAATGCATCTGTGATCCTGGTAGAGGAGTTAGGGAGTAAGGATGCGAAGTTATAGAGCCGTATTTTGTCGTTTTGCCGTTCATGATTAGACAGCAGGGCTAAAACGAGAAGTGTCACAGGGATGGATTTTAATGTGTCACAGCGCTGGATTTAAATTCATCCGTCTATCCTACAAAATAGCAAAAACATGACC